TGTGTGTGTGTGTGTGTGTGTGTAGGACCGTGCAGTGCCAGTGCACTTTACAGTGCCCTCACTGTTCATGGGGGAGAGAGAGTGAGAGAGCTCTGGGTAAACAGTCCCACCCTGAATTTCATTAAGGAATCGCTCTGTTTGCTTAAGAGCAGAGAAAACACACTGTTATGACATAATTTCCTCCCATGATGCCCCTGTGCCTCTCATCACTGTGCTCACTGTCCGACTAGAGAGGAAGTAGAAATATGGGAGGCAGAACAGGGAAATATATGAGGATTTAACAGAAAAACAAACTGTAAAATGTTTGAGATAACACTGAAATACTCAGTTATAATATTGGACAGGTATTTGAAAAGAGAAAATACTTAAAATGTCCTTATGAAGGGATTAGATTAATTTCTGCAAGGTTACAGTCAAAATTAACCCAGATAAATGACTGACTGACACTGAAAACAAAACAAACTCAGACACGTGAGAATCTCAGAAGATCCTTATTATAAATGGCTGCTATTGTTGCTCTCTGCTAGCAGGCATCAACTTTGGGTGTGTGTGTGTGTGTGTGTGTGCGTGTGTGTAAGAGAGAGAAGGGGACGTGGCGTTTTGCATTCTGTATGCATTACTTGTGTGTGTGCATTGTGTGTGCATGTGTTTCCATTAAAAGACTGTCCCATTGGTCACAGCAAGACTCCATGGAATGTGTGAATGGCTTGGAAACACATTCAGAGGGTAATGGAGGGAGACACACTCACATAAAGAGCACAAGGGAGAAAGAAATAGAAAGTAGAGGCGAAGATGCAGTAACAACAAACAACCACAGAAGTGTCATTGTGTGATCCCAGCTATTTAGCAGAGGCTCTCTGGGATTACAGCCACACTGCAGGTTTGAGGAGAAACACAAACCTTCCTGCAGTAACTGAACACCTACAGAGGATTAGCACTGTCAGCTTCTGTTGTGGAGCAGCAGGACAACACAATGTCCAATAGAAATGGCAGTTTACACAATGGAAGATGTATATTATGTGGGAATTACCTTTTATTATTGATAGTTGGAGCTATGAAGCTCACCAAATGTCAAAATGTCAAATATGTACATATTACATCAAGAATCCCATAACAACAAGCGGCAGCAGTGTGTGATTCCTCTATTGCTTCCATTGTTTATAAAGATTATCCTGTGAGGGTCAGCAACTCTTAATTCGAGGAGGGGAAACTGGAGCCACTCCCAGCTTGGAGCCATGACTAGTTGTTTTATTACAGGACGTGTATGAAATTCAGGACCAAAGTAGTCAAGGAGATACTTATGTTTAAATCATAGTGAGATAAATGATCCACCTTTATGTTGGGCCCTCCCTGGAACCCCTCAAAGACTCCCTTAGGGGTCCCCTGGTCCCACTTTGAAAACCCCTGGTGTAGAGAAAAGATTAAGCAATATGGTAAAATACAAATCTTCTTTTCAAGATATGTTTCAATCAAATTGTTACCATGACAACCTGTGAGAACACAGCCAAGTAAAAGAAAATAATTCAGATGCTGTGCAATTATGGACGACTGGATTATTTAATGTAATATGAATTAGTATAACATTATAGATAACAAAATATGTTTAAAAATAAAAAGGAGCAGATTTTGAAGTTGTGGCTGAAAGCAAAACGCCCTGCATAACTGAAAAGAACTGCACACACTGCTGAGACACACAATCACTAGCTCCATTATTAACATAACAACATTGATTGGTGCTGCTTTAGGTTTGTGGTAAATGCTCATTAATCTGTGCGTACAGTGATTTGGAGAAACTGATGTCAGTGATACAGTCAGAGGCTTCTGGTCATCTGAGGTTATCAGACTTAATGGTAGCATGGTTTAGGCATTACAGGAGTCAATCTGCATTAATCCTTTTGGCCACTTTCCTAAAACTCGAGAGTCATTTCTGTAATCCCACATAACAATGGAGGCACTCACTGCTGCTTACAGCAAGGGTTTAAAGTCACTGGGTATGAGAGTTTGCAATGAGATTAACATTAACTTTATCAAATTTGGAAAATGTCTGATTCAGGAGAAATACCCTGATGCACTCAATAGCTGCTGAAATGGAACTAGATCAAGTCTGTATCACTGCAGCTCCTCTAAATGTCAAGTCTATCTGATTGTGTTCGCCTCCACAGAGAAGTGATCGGGTTCTACGACATCCCCAGGGTCATCCATTCATGAAGGAACAATGGATGGGCCGGAGAGGGAAAGATATGTCTGACAAAACGTCAACAGAGGGAGACATAAAAAGAAAGAAAGGGACTTAGACGAGACATGATGGTGGCAGCCCAGACGAAAACGATTATGGCAATCTCTGCATTATAGGAGGCAGGTCCAGACACTATCCAGTCATACAAACCTATTACCTGTCTGCATAATGAAGGACATTCACATAAATCATCCAACTGGACTAATTCTGCATTTTGAAACTCTGATTTTCTTAATAATTTCTGGGCTCTTAAACATATTTAAAGGGCCCCATTTTAATTGTTCCGACAATTTTTGTGCTTGCATATTTAAGGCATTGAGACTCTAGGAGCACAATGATTTAGGCTGAATTCAAATGTGCTGTCACGCTCACAAACAGCAATGTTAACATGCTAATGTTGGATCTCATGACAACAATATTCATAGAATCACTTCCTCTTTATCAAGTTGTCTTGAAAAATAAAACCACATTTGTTTTGTTGCTGCAATGTTTTACCTGGAGCTGAATTGCAGAGCTTTTATTTAGATTGTGTCGCTTGCCTAACAGACCTTTGAAATAGTGGACTACATGTCCTACATGTACTACATGTATGAAACACTAAATCGGTAAATCATTCAACTTATATATGAGCTACATGCATGAAAAGTATGAAAGCAAATTCAGTTTCATTTTATGAAAAACGTTGACTATAATTGTATCATTTGACTTCTGATGAGGTGTCAACTCAAATGGAGTTCAAGTATCTTAACCTTGCTGTACACGATATTTGAGTACTGTGGAACAACGGACCTCTATTTTGAGTATATTCTTGGGTGTGTATATATTCACAACTCACACGAGCTCTGGCATCAAACACCTCACTTAAACACAAACAGGTGAGGGATAAGCAAGGTGTGAAGCACGTCCCGCTGCTGTATTATTAGTATGACTGACTATACATACTATTAGTGTGTGTGACTGACTGACTTCAGCTGTGATTAGGATCTGGCAGACTTCGGTCTGTGGTTCAACCCAAAACACTTTTTCTCCTGGTGGCTGAATAAGGGCTGCCCTTCAGCACTGCAGAGACTTACAGCACTAATCCACCTTCTAGGGTGACACACACGCAGGCTCCGCACAGGCTGTGTCTCCAGGAAACTCAACCCTGTGCGTTTTTTTAGGTGCACGTTCAATCACTTGTGTACGAGCGTGTATCTGCACTGTTCAGCAGCTTGTTGTCTCTTTGGTGAAATTTAAATCATGTTTCTTATCAAGAAACAACTATAATGATTATTGATTGATTATTATGTCAAATGTGAAAACCCCCATTCATAGGTAGCTACACACACACCTACACACACACACACAGATCAGGAGCCCCATAGGAAGAGTCAAAACCTGTCTGCTATTAACCGCTTGAAGCATAAATCTACTGTGACAGGTTCGGCCTGATGGCTGGAACGCTAAGAGGAAAACTGCTAAGACGTTCCTGAGTGGAAGGGATTAAAGGGTTACATTTAACTAGTGAATTTGATCACCAGGCACATTACATTATAACAAAAGGGTTTGTGTTGTTGCTTAAATGAAAGCATAACACATAATTCAGCAGGGAGTTTATGGACCGAGCTTTGCACGAGTCGACCATTAGTTCAAAACCAAAACTAAACAGTAGGAAATTCTCGAGGATCATAGACTGTATAAAAAGAGGGGCGACACATCTCTCAACGTCCTCTCACTATCCAAAAATGAAGCCAAAATATCCAGGATTCAGAAACCCTTTTTCGCCAAAAAAATACTTGACCTGTCTTTTGACTTTTTGGTCCATGTCCCATTCACCAAATTGGAGGAGGCAGGATTTATGACCCACACTGCAGCCAGCCACTTTTGGGGAGCTGTCACATAGGGTAAGAGTAAAAAAATAGTAAAAAAGTAAATTGCAATGCTTCGAAACATAGGTCGATAAAAGAAGACTGGTGTCAGGAGACTATAATGAGATACAGTTCATT